CCGCTTTTAAGTCGCTCGGCACTTTAAATGTAAATTTACATTGAAAGTGCTGAGCGACTGAAAAGCGGTGAGCGTTTTTGAGAACGAGAATACCGGCCCTGGTCTTTGTCAGTGTTATGCAAATATGAATATGGGCGACTAGGGCGACGAAGAACGTTCTCATAAGAACGCTGCTCCCCTGTTTCGAGAATAAGGACCGGCTGGAACTCAGTAACGGAGAGAGATCGTTATTCCTATCGCTCTGGCACTTATTGTCTTCTTCTGTCTTGTCTAGATCAAGAGAGAGGAGACGTCAATAGAAACAGAGAAAATATCTCTATCCGTTACAGAGTCCCAGCCCTGGAGTCTTCTTTAGACTTTGAAATACCTCTACCTCCGTTATCTTTAATTTTTTGTATAAATAATTTTTTGACAATCAACTAATTTTTATTTATTTATTTATTTATTCATTACAAACTCTAGAGTCTAGAGATTTACATCCAGTTACAGAGTAGGGTAGAAGACTAACCTAAGTGAAAGCAAAAATATAAAGTAAAGAGTTATCGAGAGAGTAACTTAACATTTATTTATTTATTTATTTATTTATTTTTTTTTCTGCTTTCTTGTCAGAAACCACCACTGTGGTTTGTCGACAAAGCCTCCAACATCACACACAAACCAAACCAAACCAACCATTTATTTATCAATCAGACATCAACAGCCAGGGGCCAATTACAGACATCCACTTAAGACTAACAGTAACATAAAGCTTAACAATACACTTAAAAGAAATAAAGACATGTATTAAACACTAAAACATTTTTACTAAAACTAAACAATACATAATTAAAATGGTTGGTTATAATCAAATCTGTACAAAACACAAACGTCCTAAATATCATCCCGCAGTTTACTATCAATTAGTTTTTTAAACTTTTCAATATTTATCATGTCTATATCAATACCTGAAGCATACCGATTAAAAACTGAACACATTCTAAATATAGGTGAGTTCTTGTACAGATTGGTTCTGGGAAACGCTAAATAGAAACTGTTTGAATTCCGAGAATTAATTCTATTTATCGCAAATGGCAACTGGCCAAGAATATCAGGACCATCAATTTCACCCTTCAGCAACCTAAACATTGTGCAAAGAATTATTTTAAATCTCCTTTTCTCCAATGACACTCTTCCAAAGACACCCAACAAATATTCATTACTACAACCTCTTTGTGGGTAGAATCCATATTTTCTAAAATAAAGAGACTTTAGAAATTTCCTTTGCACCCCCTCAATAATCGTAATCCACACATCATATTGAGGGGACCAAATTACAGAACCATATTCCAATATAGGCAAAACTAAGCTGTCAAAAAGATGTAAACTTATGTCTATGCCAAAGTCTCTAGTGTTTCTTGTAATAAATCCTGCTACCCTCTGAGCACTTTCAATTTTTGCAAGAATGTGATCAGTGAAAGTGAGATTCACGTCAAAGATCAGACCTAAATCTTTTTGTTTGTCAACTCTTTAAAATCTACATTTGTAAAAATATATCATTAAGTATGAATTTCAGCCTACTTACAGAACTTAAATTCCACATATCAAATTGTAAGCGCATTTGGTTATATAATTTACACATTACAATAACAGGTGAGCTGTTGTAGTAATTAGTTCGAGTATTATCAGTATATAAGCCCAAAGGATTTCATGTTCTATATGTCGGAGCATAAAATTTAATTTGGTTCAACAAATAAGGAGCATTTATCATGTTAGGTATTTAATATTTTATAAAGAAACTAGCTGACCCGGCGAACTTCATACCGCCTCTGAATTATTAAATACCTATTAAATGTTGTGTTAACGTATCTAGTAGCTGAATTAAATTCAGTTTTTTCGATGGTGAATTTAGCCTTGGTTGAAGAAAATTAATATTCACTCCCTGGAACAAAAATCACCTAAAATTGAAATTTTACATCATCCCTTTTTAGGCACCTTGTAAAGTCTACCACCAAAAAAATAAACTCAGGCACAGGAATGTTCAAAGAATGTAAAGAAAACAAAAAAAAATCATCTGAATCGTCAATAACCACTGATTCAAAAATTCATATTAATTCACACAAACGAAACTGCTCCCGATTGATCAGAAAGCGATCCGAAAAGGATTCACGTGTTCGACTTGAGCAATAATAAACGCTCCTGCCTTCAAGCGTTTGTATATTATGAGCTATCATGATTTCTAATTTTGGTATATGCATTTCATATCGCCCTGTTTCCTTGTAGTGTAAATATCTCAAAAATTTATTTTGAATTTTTTCAACACTATATTTATGGTTCTCATAACACGGGCTCCATATTATAGAACAATATTCTAATATACTCCTCACATATGAAAAATACAGAGTTTTAACACACAATGTATTGAGCTCTTTGCAATTTCTGACAATAAATCCATACATTTTAGTTGCCCTACTTGTTATGTCATTTATTTGACTTCTGCTGAATGTTAGCTGGGTGTCAAATATTACTCCAAGATCCCGCATTTCTGCAATCCTAGCAAGTGCCCTCTTGTTCATTGTATACTCATAGTTAAGATGCGTTTTTCTTCTACTAAAACTAAGCACAAAACATTTGTCAATATTAAATTGTAATTTATTTTTAATTGACCATAGACATATTTGTCCAAATTTTTCTGAACATACTGACAGTCATTGTAGTTGTTAAACTCTTGAATATAGTTTTAGATCATCTGCAATCAATAATACTTCTGTACCTGTACCACTAATTTCATCAACCAAATTATTTATATACAACAGAAAGAGCCATGGTCCGAGGTTGGAGCCCTGCGGGATACCTGAAGTTGCACAAAAATAATCGAAGTAGTAACCCCTGACAACAACCCGCTGTGGTCTATTATGTAAATATTTCCATAAAAGCCATAGATTATCATGAAAACCAAACTTATTGCACAGCTTTTGTATAAGGATGCTATGCGATATTCTGTCAAAAGTCTTGGCAAAATCTGTGTATATTACGTTGACCTGGCATCTTCCATCAAGGCTCTCAGCAATATACTGAGTCATCTCACACAAATTACTAGCCGTAGATTGCTTATTTAAAAAACCATGTTGTCTGGCTGATATCTTGTTTTTCACAAAATTGTATATAAACTTATATAAGATGGACTCAAATATTTTGGCCGGGCACGACAACAGTCAACAGTGATATAGGCCTATAGTTTTTCACATCCGTGCTATCACATTTTTTAAATATAGGACAAATCCTTGCCTCTTTCCATGCTTGAGGAAAAGTGTTTGTTTTCAATGAAAGATTGAACAAAATCCTAAGTGGCTCTGCCAAAAAACCGATCATTCCCTTAAAAACATTTTGATGCGATATACTGATATCCTGTTAAAAAAAAACTCACTCTCAGATTCAACTTGTATAATGCTCTGGGGGCAGGCATTAAACATAAATAGGATCTTCATAACACAAAAAATAATAGTCCACCTAATTTTTGGACTGGAACCCATGGACACGTCCAAAGAAGTATTTAAGGCAAATAACATACTTAGGGTAACCTCTATATATGTACTGAAATGTTCCCTCCTATATGTACACAAAAATCGAGAGAAATTCAAAAAAAGAACTCTGAAATCCACTAGTACGAGACGAGACATAAAAACAACCTCGTACTTCCCATCCACGGGTCCACCTTCTATAAAAAATCACCATACTACGCTTGCACTAAGATATACAACAAACCACCAACTACTGTAAAGGAGGCCAATGCATATAGGCAGTTCAGCAGAAACCTCATAGAATATCTCACTGCAAGAGCCTACTACACACTAAGGGAATTCTATGCGGAATAGACACATTTATTATGCACCATGCGAAAAATTAGAATCCAACTTGTGATATTTTTTTTTTAGAATTACTAGGTTAAGTATTGGTTTTGTGTCCTTAGCTTTATGTATCAAACACCGAGGCAACACCACAGTAAGGCAATGGTGAAATATCCTACGGCAAGGGCAAGATTAGTTTCTGAGATTCTGAAGCTGACGAGAAATCAGATCTGAATTGTGACAGGATTGTTAGCTGATCACTATACACTGAGAAAACACTTACACAAGATGGGTATCTACCAAGATGAACCCATCTGTTGACTTTACAACGAGAACGAAGAATCAGCCTCTCACATCCTATTCGAGTCCAGCATTGCTTACTGGAGAATTCGAAACCTTGTGGAAGAGGAGCCTGTCCAGGAGGCGGATCGCCTGAAAACGCCAATAAAGAGGCTACTTTAGCAGAAATTTACACAGCAAGGGATACAATAAGCTAACTAGCTGCAGTGTCAGGGAATCACTAAACCTTGCCGTATATCAAATCAATCAGTTAATCAACTTATTCGCGTTCAATTTACGACTAACTCATTCCTGACACACTGGCGTCTAATTTATCACAGCCTTCTTGCCATTTATTCGTCTGGTGGGGTGGGAGCATAGTATGTATTGAATTTCCAAATTCTATATTAGTTATCCCTAGAGTTATCCTAGCCAAGTTTAGAAATAATCAAATAACACTCATAGTTACATAGAATAATGGCATATTGGTTTTTTGTGTATGCCAAACATCTGACATGTAACCTTCATCATCTCCTTTCGCCCTGGGAAGTTATACCTTTGTTTCTGACCTCTTTCCTCGGAGGCGGATTCCGTTTTATATCGTTCGTTAAGAGTTCGCTGGACTATTCACTAATTTTCTAGTCATCAGGCAGTCTTGCTAAATTGCCCAAAATTTCCCCAATACTTTAAGTACTTAGGATATCTAATCAATAGGCCCTACTTAAACATTTTAAATTATTTATCAAGAGGAACAATTCTGGGTTAATTCTTTTCTGTGGGAAACTTTTCAAGCTCACCACAATGATAATAAATAAACTAAATCAAATTAATTAATACAGCCAATATAAATTAATATCATCGATTTCATGATGCATTATTTTTATCTTTTATTTTTAGCACGCGCGAAATTAAACCGAACCAAACGGACATTGGTCGCAAAGTCAAAGTGAAGCAAACCCCATTGACATCGTCATCGTCGTCATCCAGGCCGCCATTGTTGCCGTCGTCTCAGCAGCCGCGACCAGCGCTGCCTTCGATGCGAGACAGCTTACTCAAGCAACCCTCGTATCCGAATCCGTCAGTCGTAAAGCCGCCCCCAAGTAAGTATTAATAATGTCTCAAAATATTTTGATGTGTTGTAGAAAATTTTTTCGCGTTGGACGTTGGTTAAATTTTTTTATTTTCATTATAAATTTCAAACGACCCTTATGACCACAGACGGCCCTTAATCAAAAAAGTCTTTAGATAAACATTGTAGATCAAATAATGTTGCATATCTTTTATTTGAAAGATTTTTTTGTAAAATCAATAGGTACCAAGTAATCGCCAATGGCGCACTTTCAACCCCTATAGCGCAAAACGCCAGAGGGGTGTATGCATGATATTTTCGGTTTTGCGATCACCCACCCGCCTCCTATCATCCCTGAAAAGTTCATTTGGGTAGGAATTTTTTTTTGCAATGCATGTATTTTTTCGACAATTTTCCTAGATTACTAACGATGTGGTTACCAGCCAAGATAAAACAAAAACTTATTTGTATATTTTATTATTTATCAAAATTGATTATGGTCATATTATTAACATGAAGGCATAACATGTTTGAGAGAGGCATCAAATTTATCAGTTCCTAATGGTTCAGTTGTTATCTTGTTTTTAAAGGTAAATGATCCTGTTATCTGTGGTCAGGGTTGAGGATTGTTCTGTAAATACTGAAATCTTGTCTGTATTTGAAATTTAACCGAATTACATTATTCGCCATATTGAAGCAAATATTTAAACAATCAGAAAAAAATGTCCACTGATAAGTGGATTTTTTTTCTTAAACTATTAAAGCAAAATTTGAATATTCAAATTTGTCAGCTAAGTAACAGGGGAACCTTGAGAAACATAACTTGGTTTTGCATTAATCTAGAATACAAAAAACAATTAGCTTATACCTGTATACCTACATAATATGATTTTTATATTCAGATACTGATAAATATTGTAGATTTTTTTTTTAAATTAATTTATGGGCTCCTGGGGTCTTTGTTTCCCATCACTTGCATCTATTCCTTAGAGGTCATTTACAGTAACCCAAACTTATGTCATATATAGGCAACATAGCTCTGATTTAGAGAAAACATGAAAATAAATTCTTCAAGCACTTAGAAAAGTTATTAAAGATTTCCTGTCATTTTCAAGGTACTATTCAACCGTCATCGCACTCGTCCCTAAGCAATGGTCTCTCCAATGGACTAGGCAGTAACCACGTGAGTAGCTCTCAACGAAGCACCGTCCATCACAACAGGAAACCGTCTGTACCGGAAGTAGCTAGAAGACCTTTGCGGTTAGTAGAATCTATAGTTTCTAATTTAAATTTAGTGGAATCACTGTATGGCATCCTCAGCCTTATTTTCGGAATCACCCTAATCTAATCCGACAATTCAAAAAGATACCAAAGGGTTTTGTCCACAGAAATCTTAATGGGTTTTCTTGCTATTCCTACAAATCCATTCATGATTCGGTTTTTACAGCTTCTTAATTATTCCAGAGAACGATTGATCCAACTTCTGGCCTTGAGGCCGTTTAAGAAGATCGAGCTGCACGATCGTCTCAATAAAGGTTTGTGTTTATTTCATGAAAATTAAATTTTTCATTAGGATTATTACTTTGTAGAGGGCCTCCGTGGACAAAACAGCATGAGTACCATATTGAAACAGATCGCGAGTATGAGAGATAATTGTTTTTACTTAAATAGGAACTTGTGGAACGAGGTGAACGACGATTGGCCATTTTATACTGAGATGGAAAAGCAAATTCTCAAAAGGTATGTGATCTTATTTAAGAAGTTTTGATTTTTTTATGCTTCTTGGCTCTAATTTAATTTTTTTAGGCGTAAACCACAAAATTTGACGCCACCAGGAGGCAGCGACGGAGGTAGTTCAGGTAGCGGGCAATCGCCCACCAGTACCCACCCAGGCTCGCCACCGCTAATTACGTCAACTAACGGTGTAAGCAGTGGGGCGAAAAGACCTAGTTACAATGAGGGCGGCGATGGGTTCCCATACAAACGGCAGCGAATAGCTCATGGTGGTGTGAAAGGTACCTCGCTACAATCCGACAACGGACAAATCGGGTACAATAATCGGCAACAAAATGCTCCAGATCCGATTTACCGACAATCGGATACCACGTACAATCGGTCTCCAGTGGAACAGAACAACAGTCAGAGGAGGCCCGCTACAGACCTTCGAGACTCTTCCAATATGAATCCAAGGAGCAGGGAATCGCCTCCCAATGGGTAAAGAACTTTTTCAAAGTCAAGCAGCATTAAAAAATTAATTTCACACTGTATTTTGTTTTAGATTTTTTAATTCCTATGACAATCTTCCCCCGCCCGAGGATGACAAAAAGCGACAGTGTGATACTAGTGCGAATGGCTTAACGTTTGGTGTCAGTAGAGAGAAAACTTTTAGAAGTGGGTAAGTTACTGGAGTAAATTCCACTTGGCCTTTTATCTTTTGAGTGCAAAATCCCTAATATTCTGAATTCTAGGTCGCCCATGAATAGTGGTTTGATGACTGAGGAAGCGCGAAGAGGCACAAGTAGTCCCATATTACAAAGTCAAGTTGTTGCCAATGGTGTGCAGAGAGATAAAGACAGGCGGAATAATAATAATAACAATCATAAGGTAAATAAAATTTTAGTTGATTGAAATTCATATTATTGTGCAATATCATTAAAGTAATAGTAAATTATTTTAAATAGGTTTCGTCCAGTAGTCACAGAATAGCCAGAGTTAGTCCAGATAGTCAAACGGAAGGAATGCCCATGGCTCCTGCTCCTGAAAAATCACCCACACCGATTAGTCATGATAGTGGTGTGACAGATGAGATAGAATTTCCAGATTATAAAAAGTAAGAATATATTTTCATCAAGTAATACATAATGAACTTGCATTTCTAATGTTCATTTTATTGTTACAGGCTGTACATTAAGATTACGTCGCCAGAACAGAAAAGGGCATACAAGGCGGAATTCAATGCCGACTACGATGAATACAGAAACCTCTATCCTATTGTAGAAAAGGTTTCCAGACGATTTTCACAGCTAGAGGAGCGGTTGAAACAAGAAGAAGTGAACACTCCTAGATATAAAGTAGGTTTTTGGCATTTTTATTTGTTTTTGTGGCCTAAAACTAATATAATTTTTTTTTTTCTAGGATATAAAGAAACAAATAGTCCGAGAATACGCAGAAATGAAAAAGGATCTCGTGCATCAAAGGGTCAAAAGTCGTTTTCAATACTTGCACTCGAAACTGTCGCACATCAAAAAGCTAGTCAGCGAGTTTGAGCAGGCGCAACAGCTGACTGTTACATGTTAGCCACTCCTTCACACCTTCAATAAAAAACGTTGTTGCCGCTCTTTCGAAAAGAAATTTAGGATATTAAAGCAGGAAAGTTTCTAGTGCGCGATTTAAAACTATTTTGTTTTAGAAAAAAAAATTCAGTTAAGTGTTGACAAGTTTTTTTTGTTGTTGTTATTGGAGAGTGATGTGCTTGGCCTCCAAAAAAAATATTTGAAAAAAAAAATGGACATTTAAGAATTGATGGTTAGCTTAAATTATTATGTAAAACTAGTGTTCTGGATTGATACGGGTCAGCGATGCTAGTGCAAATTGGTACCGCCTTGAGACGCCGGTTGCAGTTACGACTACAAAATAGAAGTGAGTTAAATTTTTGTCTTTACCTATCTTATAGGATTATTGAATTTTAGGAACAAATTTTCTATTTCGAGCAAAGTTTACTAGTGCTAGAATCTTGATTCATCATTTCAGTGGCATGTACTGAAAGAAATTAAAGTTTTTGGAACTATTTTGTACTGTTCAACTTTCCCTCACCGTACTTGTTGCTATTAGTCTCGTGGTCATATTTACAGTATTTGGATACCTACTTTCTAATTTTTAGTTGGAGTTTTAACTAAATTTTTGATTTTGGTGGAATCGACTAGGGCTTGCAATGCCAAGATCCTGTTAAAAATTCTCAGCTTTTGGGATTAATCAAGGGACTTTGTCTCAAAAACCCAACAATCGAAATATATGTTTGAGACTATTATCATCAGAATCATGTATATACGAATTTTCATTTTCAGTGATATTACTGTTTCTATTGTACTATTTTATGTTCACAAGTACAGTATTTTTAATACCTATTTAGAAGTACCTGTCGTTTGCAATCGACGTTCGTTTTTGTTGGTAAATAAGGATGGGGTTATTCTAAACAATGAACTATAAACTACACGTACCTGGAATGGCACCGACCGTTGTCGTATATGGCATTTGTATGGCATTTGTCATCTCTCTTAGTGCGTCCAAAGAAACCTTTCGTTTTTATTCTCATCGGTGACTTCACCGATGAGTTAATCATCTTTGTTTAGTGAATGGAAAATGACAATGACGGCCATAGAATGGTGGATCCATCGGTAAAATTTGATGAGAATAAAAACGCAGGGAAAGCTATATAGTGGGGGATCCCTTTCTCTCTCTATTTCATTGCTGTTAGGTTTGGTGTATATTCCTAACCTTAAATTGATTATTTTTTAGACAAGGAAAGATTTTCATAAGTGACCCATAAGGTAAATAGAGATAAGAATCCCCTACATTCTCCATCTCAATTTGCCGCATTTTAGAGATAGGCCGGGCCATTCCAGGTACGTGTAGTTTATAGTTCATTGATTATGGGTATTACAAATACTATATCTGCTCTGGGACCAGAGCTGGGATCGTTACTTGAAAAAAGTAACGCGTTACTTTACAATTATTTTTGCTTAAAAATAACTCGTTACTTAAAATTTACAGTTACTTTCGAATAATGATAACTTTATTTTCGTTACTTATTGGAAAGTAACGCGTTACTGTAACTTCTTTACTTTGAAAGTAACTTCTTTACTCTAAAAGTAGTTCGTTACTTTTAAAGTAACGCGTTACTTCAAAAATAACTATTTACGTCGAAAATTGCGTTATTCCTTAATTTGACTCACCAACACAGCAGTCCAAACAATCAAATAAGACCTATACGAAATGCCAATATGTTTTTAGCTTGTGAGTCCGACTATGTGGAAGACTATTCTTGCAAAATTCAAGCGGATTAAGGATTAAGCGACTGAATAGAGCACTTGGTTTTGGACAAACCTGCTCTTTGAAGCGTCCTAGTGTCTGCATATAGTGTCTTTAGAGCAGAGGCGGCGCGTGACACGCCCAAAAACGATTATTTTGAGCTCTCAAAACAAATTTTCTGTACTACCAACATTTTATTTGACATACAAAGTTTTTGGATTACTTATTTTCCTTTTCCTCACTCGTCAATTATTTGTAAAGATAAACAAATTAAGAGAACGAGTTACTTTCATAGTAACTAGTAATGCGTTACTTTCAGCGTTACTTCAGGAAAGTAACGTCGTTACAGTTACTTATTAATCAATCTGAAAAGTAACGAAGTTACCAAGTAACGCGTTACTTTCAGTAACTCGTTAAAGTAAAGTAACTTTTTTTTGTTGTTACTCCCAGCTCTGTCTGGGACTATGTGACGAATAGAGATATTTTCCCTCTCTATTGACGTCCCTTCTCTATTGATTTAGAAAAAGAGAAGACAGTAAGTGCCATAGCGATAGAGATAACAATGTCTATCCATTACATAGTCCCAGTGCTGATATCTTCCAATTTCTTTTTGTTTGGTAATGGCTGGTTGGTGAATGGAGTATTTATGCAATTATTTCTCAGTGCGAATACTTTGAAGATTTTATGTAAATAGTATTTTATGTACCTTCTGAAATGATACTCGATTTTGACAGAATGAACATATACATCTTGAAAATACATGCAGGCATTTGTTAACTTTTCAGTACCTATTAACATTCTCTAGACTCCTTTTTGAAGATTCTATCCATTGTCTTTTACAGACTCACAATTTTTTCAATAGTTTTATGTAGCTTCTGAAATGCTTCTTGATTTTGTCAGAATACACATAGAATTTGTGTAAATATTCAAGTAATAATTTCATTTTGAATTTGTCAGTTTTCATATTGTTATTATCATTAGTTTCCAGTAGTAACTAGTTCTTGTTTTTGGAGCAGCGGAGTCTGAGATCGAGGAATTCGACGAACGCAAAACATACGATTCACAGGTGATTCAAAATCAAAATCAAAATAGTTTATTGGTGTTATAAATACTATTGTACCTTACACAAGTCATATAAATAAATCTTACATTTATCATAAAAATTACAAAAATTATGCTGAGCACTATACATATTATTGAGGCATCCAACATGGCGCCTGCGGGTGGTGATGTTTTAGATACGGACGGGAAAAAATGCAAGTACTGCAAATCCGGTGTTGAAAAAAGTTTTTTGAAGTGCAATTTATGTAATGTTTACTACCACCAATCATGTGCCCTAAGAATCTCGGGGCTAGTAGTCACTAGTGGAAGTAAAAATCTAATTAACTGTGCGACATGTGCCAAGGTCGTACGGGACACGGAGGTAAACAAAGTTGTGAATGAAGCTATTTCCGCCAAAGAAGACGAGATTCTGAACCTAAAATCGCAAATAGAAGTGTACGAGGATGAAAAAGTGAAGTATCTTGAACTTAAAAATGAACTCCAAGGAAAAATCTTCTCTCTTGAAAGTATGGTTTCTCCTGCAACCACCCCACCTGTGAAAGCGAAAAGCGACGACAGGGCTCTTGAAACAGAGTTGAGGAGCTTAAGGAGCGAGTATGAAATGTCGAAGAAGTTGCTCGCATCGTTGGAGTACACAGTTGAACTCCAAAAATGCGTAATCTCAACCTTTAAAGGAATAAGTGAGGAAAACATAAACATTGCTTCCATGACCTCTCAAAACAAAGATGACGTCATTGGGGATGCTCGACAAGGGCCAGCAATATTTAGCAACACCGCTAAACCTCCGAAGCAATGGCCAACGCAAATAAGAAATAAACCAAATGTGGCAACCAGGGATGGTAATTCGACCGCACAACAACAGGCAACACTGCCAAGTTGGACAACTCAATCAGCTGAGGCGGCTGTCAATTCCATAGAGGTCAATACCAATGATATTAATAAAAATATAAACAAACAAAGAATCGAAATTATCAACTCGAAAACCCTAAACACGGCATTGATGGAAGTTGAAACTCGCAATGCAATGCAAAATATTCAAAAATTATACACGAAAAATGAGGACGATGACCAGTGGCAGGTGCAAAGACGAAAGCGCCGACGATATGTGGTGGGCGATAATGAGACAGAAATACAAGGGGTCCCAAAATCTGTCTCACTACACGTAACTAGGCTTGACCCAAGCACAAAGCCTGAAGACCTGAGAAATATGTTAGCTAAGCACTTTCCCGAGGTAATTTGTGAGCAACATCCATCCAAACATCCCACTCTATATTCCTCTATGAAAGTTACTCTCAGGCAAAATAACTTCCGCAATGCGTGGAAAAGAGAGATATGGCCAAATGGTGCCCTCGTATCTCGGTTTTTTGCCAAGAGGAGGAACCTGTCACAAACAGAGGAGACAGTTCCTCAGAGAAAATGAAAACTAAATCAAATATAAATATAAGTATAAATAAAACTGTTTCGCAATCAAAAAATCCCACTTCCACTTATGTTTCAAGTAACCATTGTCAGGTCTACTACCAAAATGTGCGTGGTCTAAGGACTAAGACTGAAGCTTTTTATACCAACCTGTTGACAATGGATCCCGATATAGTGACACTGACTGAGACTTGGCTATGTGATGGAATTTTCACTCAAGAGCTGATTGATGAGAGGTACACGGTGCTAAGAAGAGATAGAAGTACTGCTGCTAGAGGTGGAGGCGTTTTGATCGCTTTCGACAGAAGATTCCCTTATGAAATTATTGATAGTAATGTTGACTGTAATGTTGAATGTATTCTTGTAAGGTTGAAGTTGAAAAAGTATAATGTTATTGTCTCTGTTGTATATTTCCAACCAAACTCTAGTTTGGAAGTCTATAATAGTTTTTTTAATCAATTTGAATGTCTTTTAGATGACGAGCGGACAGGAGTATTGATATTGGGTGATTTTAACCTCCCTTTTTTTGAAATATGTGATAATGATAAAAACACCTTGCTTACTGAGTTCCTTAATCTCAATAATTTGAGACAGTTGAATAACATTAAAAATTTTAGGGACAGGTGCCTGGACCTGGTTTTGACGAACATGGAGATACCGCAAATCACTAGGTCTGTGCAGCCACTAGTTGCAGAGGACCCCTATCATCCTGCACTTGAATTTGGAGTTCCAACGAAGGATAAGTTGGTAAATTGTATATCCAAACAGTATGTATATGATTTCCCAAAAGGGGATTTTCTACTTCTATACAATCTTGTGAAAACCTGTGATTGGACTGAAGTACTTTCAATTACAGATGTAAATATGAGTCTCAATTTATTTTATAAAAAGGTGTATGGTCTTTTAGATAGAGCTATTCCAAAGAGACAAATCAAACATTCTTCCAGTAAAACCCGTTATCCACGGTGGTATTCCATAGATCTGATTCACAAAGTCAAGGAAAAGAATAAGCTTCATAAGCGTATATTGAGTAAGTGTGCTGATCCATCAGTGCAATTGCACTTTAGTGAATTAAGACAATGCATCAAGCTGCAGACCCAAGCAGAATACAACCTGTACAAGAATAATGT